CCATACGAGGCCAGACCAGCAATACAGCATCTGGATCCAGACCAGCAATCCAAGGGCTTAGACCTGCGTAATTGTTCTCCTGTGCACCATCTGGATCTCTTACATGTTCGCTATCCTCAGATAGGTGTTGTTGGGAATTTACACCAGCCACCACATAATGCTTCGGGTTGTTCCCCATTCCGAGCTTTATACAAAAGAGAGCCAAACTTTGGAGGTATGCCAAACATCACCGTCGATGAACGATCTTTAGTACTTGAAAGATCAGCGAACTACCAGCCCCACATCGACTTGTTGAACACACAACTCTTCAAGGTACAAGCTCGGATGAAAGCTCAAGCTGATAGAAAGTGCACAAAATGATAGTTTGTTGTTGGGGAGAAAATTCTTCTAAAGGTCAAGTGACCATGTTGCAAGCTATCTTACAAATATTTCAAGCATTTCACAATTCTGGAACGCATTGGCGAAGTGGCGTACCGCCTGTATTTACTGTTTGTTGTACATGTGCACCCAAATTTTTCATGTTTTCCAATTGAAACCATTTACTGTAGGTTACTCCCTGGTCTTCAAAGATCTCCCTCTATCGGATTATTTAGCTGCGACAAATTACCCACTATCGAACTGTTAAAGTGCGCACCAAGTGAATCCAGCTGCGTATTTAGTTGCGAACCGTTTTGTCCTTACGTGATGGAATACCGAAAAGATATGGACAACGGTTGCGAAGGGCTGTCATGGGTCATGTTGTCATGCTAGAAAGAACTATCTTTTTTATTGATGATGGTGATGATCATGGAAGCCCTAAATGTGGACACATCTGTCTCATCATAAGGAAGTTGTGATTCAACACGCATGTAGTCAGAGACAACACAGTCTAAGATACCGCCCAAATCTGCCAAGGTCCGCAATGCAAAGCCCCCAAGCACCTTATTCTAGCAAGATATCTGAGGCTTCGGCCCCTAGACAATCTCGATATCAACCCCCTTGTAAATACAAAAACCTAGTTCTCATACGAGGCCAGACCAACAAAAAACAAGCATAAAGTAGGGTATTGCCTTGATCCAAGGGCATGGACCTGCATAAATCGTTCCCGTGTGCACCATCCGGATCTCTTACGTGTTCACTATCCTCAGATTGGTGTTGTCGGGAATTTACCACGACATTACCCATGGTCGAGTTTTTGTATAAAACCAGCCACCACATAATGCTTTGGTTTGTTCCCCATTCCAACCTTTATATGGAAAGCAGTCATCCTTTGGAGGTATGCCAAACATCACTATCAATGAAGGGTATTTAGTAGCTAAAACATTAGCTGACTACTAGCCCCACATCGACTTGCTGCGCACACCCTTCAAGGTACAAGCTTGAATAAAAGCTCAAGCTGATAGAAAGTGCACAGAATGACAATTTGTGGTTGGGGAGCAAATTCTTCTGTTGGAGATCACCCTCCGTTGGATTATTTAGCTACCCACATGATCCCGCAACACCGACTTATCCACGTAGGGTCAGCGTATTCTCCTAAGTGCTGATCAAATGGGGTATCTTTCGGACGAGGCAACCAGGTGGGAGGACTACTACGTGGCACGTCGTCTCTTGTTAACGACATCAAGGGGCGAATGTCACACCCTCACCATCATCAATAATGATGATGGACTGTAAGTCGCCTGCCCCCAAGAATCCAGCCAGTGGACAGGCGAGCGAAGCTGGCAAGCACCAGCGTGATTCACAATCTAGACGGCTCAGTAAACCATCCAGAGAGTTCTTTCTTGACGATGGATCGTTCGTACATTGGGACGGCAGTCACCGACATCAAGATTTTGGCGAGCAATTTTTGTTTTGTTCCTTTAGTCATGTTATTAGTTGTTTGTCGAATGTCGTGGCACATAGCACAATTGTGTTTATCTTGCTGATGATTCTATTCTTTATAATGTAACCTTAGATTAGTATATAAACTTGAGTCATTTATTTTGGGGCAGAGGGAGTAGTATTTTGTGATCAATAAAGAGCGGCACTCTCTCAACAACAATGAAAAATTCAAGATGGCTCCGTAAGCTGGGTTGAGACTGAGGGCCCACCTGTAAGCGTGTCACTCTCAACTCTCTGCATCTCACCCTGTACCTTCTCCTTCCTCCTCCCGTACCTCTCCCCTCCCAACTCTTTCCGTATCCTCTGATCAATCCATGGAAGGAGCTCGGGTCACACAAACTCCAATGCCGCAAGACACGCCGACCTCCCCAAGGAGACCTCCGACGGCCACAGCCTCCTTCACAGGGGTCTCAGGCCAGAGCCCTCCCTCCCTGTTTCCACACACTCCCGTCGTCGCTGGCGGCCGTGCAGGCAAGGTGCTCGACGAAATGCCTCCTGACACGCCAAGGCTCGTCGTCGCAAGCCTCGAGCTGCAGCGGCGGTCGTGGGCGGACGTCCCGCCGGACATCCTCGGGATCGTGGCCGGCCGCCTCCCCTGCGTTGAGGACCGCGCCAGGCTGCGCTCCGTCTGCGCCGCCTGGCGCGCGGCGGCGCGCCTCCGCCGCCCGCTGCCGCCGCCGCTCCCCCTGCTCGTCCACGCGGACTTCTCCTTCTCCAGCTTCTCCCCCGACGGTGTCACGACGGGGACGCGTCGCATCCCCCTGCCCGAGGACGTGGCGGCCGACGATGTCCGTTGCGTGGGCTCGTTCGAGGGGTGGCTCGCCGGCGTGCGGCCGAACCAAGGTCGCTACTTTGGCGATGCCCAGTGCTTCTTGATGAACCCTTTCTCCCGGGACGTGCTCCATCTCCCGCCTCCCTCCGCGTCCTCTCATTTCGTCGATGCCCACAGTAGATCCCTGCCCATCATCGGTGGCTCTGGTGTGGTTGAGTGCACCATCAACGCCCCACAGTACGTGATGTCGTTCTGCAAGGTAATCTTGTCCTCCTCACCTGATTCTGGGTCCAAATGCATTGTGGCTGCCTTCTCGGTGCATCGGAACGGAGCCAAGCTTGCTCTCTGGCGGCCTGGCATGACGTCGTGGTGCGTGTGCCTTGGTGGCTGCATAAGCAAGTTCAGTGATATTACCTTCTACCAGGGCAAGATTTACGTGCTCAGCGAGCTCACCACAAATCTCTTTGTCATCGAGATAACAGATGACGACGACTCTGGGCTGATGGCTTCTCGTGTCGAGCGTTGTGTGGCCGAGAGGCCTGAGATCAAGGGTAGCTACACACAGAGGTGGAACTTGGTAGAATGGCATGGAAAACTGTTGTTTATCGCCAGACACTTAGGTGGCGGTGAAGGCTGGCACGATATTTGCAAGGTTGGAGTATATATGGTGGATTTAAGCACTAAACCTCTTCAATTCACTGAGATCAACACCTTGGATGGCGACTGTATCTTCATCAGCCCGTGCAGCAGCAAATCATTTCATGCGTCAGAGTATGAAAGGGTGGAAGGCAATGTTATCTACTTCATCGATGGCTATCTCTGCCATGCTAAAAATGGTCCCCTATTTGATAAGTTCATGTACAACTTGAGCGATGGTACATTTGCGCCATTTGCTGCAGATTTATCAGAGTGCAACTTTCAGGCACCAGATGGCAAGCCCATGAGTCAAACGTGGTTGTTTCCTTCTGAATGAACTGCAGCACAGCAACTCCGATGTTAATGAATCTTTAATGTATCAGAGATCCCTGATGCTGCTTGGCGCGTGGACCATTGTGTTTGCTTTTCAAGAACTGAAAAATAAAAACTAGTGTATGTTGTTGTCTAATTTGTGATTATTATGATGCTTGCCGACTTAAACTGTTTTAGTACTTCGTTTTCAAATTTCCATTTGGATCATCAGTTGATTCACATTTGTGGGAATCAGTAGTTAAGTGAGCAGTGGTTCTTCATATTAACTAGACTGTAGTGGTTCTGCAATTCCTCACCTATCCTCTTCCGGTCCTTTGGGTATTTCTGTCACTGGAGTAGAATTTCTACTAGTGGTTAATATAGCTAGTGGAGTGTTATATCTTCAAGTTTTATTCAATGGATTTCATTTGAATCTATGGAACTGCTTGCTTCCTTATTGAAGCATGGTATTATTAGGGATGAGCCTTTCAGTGCTGTTGATGCCCATACAGCAACAAGTCTCCTCAATATGTAAGCATCGTATCAGCACATGCAGATTGTATTAGTATTTGATTATGAGCTGATTTATAAATCTCTTATTTTGTATGACAACATTATGTCATGCCTTGTGATCTCGAACACTACTTATGATAATAAGAAATCCAAAGTACAGTGGCTATAGAAAGAAAGGAAGAGTTCGATTGCTTGGAGAAGGTATTCTTCTTGGTCGACTTTTTGCATAAAAATATTTAATATCACTAAAGAAAAATGTTTTATTTAAAACAGGGTATTTTATCAGATAAAACTGTTCCTTTGGTAACCCACCAAGTGGATTTTCTGCCCCTTATTTGACTAGTGAAAAATTTCGGCAGTTAGATGGGGAGGTTATTCATCTGCACCTTATCAAATTCTATTGGCAGACTGTCAACAATTTAAGGACCTTGTAAATGCGCATAAAGATACCGTTGGTGATTCAAATCTTAACAGTATGGCCTCTCGAAGAGTAACGGAAATACCAAGAACAGCGACTGATAATATTCATGGAAACAGATATATGGAGGCTGTGAAGCCATCACCAGTAGATCACTCGATCAAGAGAGGAAAGAGAATCAGGGGATACAGGTCTTAAGCCTTATATGCTTTACCTGTGCCAGAACAAAGGCTTCTTGTATGCCTCTCTTTCTGTTATTTCTCACATAATTTTCTTAGCTGATCAAATTTCACAGAATTCATGTATGGCTGCTAATGTCCAAAATGCCCGTGTTAGTTTAGTACACTGAAGTTAATTTCTGTGTACATTGTTATCGGAGTCTGCACCATTTTCTTTGTGCTATCACGATCTTTGTTCCTCGTTGTTCTCGGAGTCCAGACTTCAAGATCCTTGTTTTCCCAGTTGCTCAATTCATTGTTCCATGCACCTATGTCCTTTTTTGATTCTACTCCTATAGGCAGGATTCTTAGCCGGGGTAAGAAAAGCCTGAAACAAATGACCGATATGGTAATTACAGTTCTGTTTCACATTCATTTTCTAATGATGGATTATCCCCTGCAGGTCTCTTCAGATTTGAGTATCATTGATCTTGATGTTCCATTTGCCTTCATGTTTACCTTTAGTGCCAGCTTAACTACATATAGCAATCTGGTAGTGTTGGCTGTTGTCACATGGCAAGTTCTGTTTGTATCGTCGCCGATGATAGTTTTGGCAATTCGGTTGCAGGTGATTGATCTAACTTTATTTCTGCATGGCTAAACTCCCTTTCTATTGTTATTTCATTTCCCGAATGATCTACTCTGCTGAATTTTCACCCATGGGGTTAATTTATCAGATGTTTTCTCACAATTCTGATTGAGTGAGATCTGTTATATTTGGTCTTCTAGAGGTACTATTTAGCCTCAGCTAAGGAATTGATGCGGATTAATGGCACTACCATGTCTGCCCTAGCAAATCACTTTGAATCGATTTCAGGGGCTATAACAATACGTGCCTTTGAGGAACAAGATCGTTTCTTTGCTCAAAATTTGGAGCTAGTCGACAAGAATGCTAGTCCATACTTTTATAATTCTGCAGCTACTGAATGGTTGATTCAGCGCCTGGAAACAATGAGTGCTGCGGTTCTTTCTTTTTCTGCCTTTGTCATGGTTCTTCTTTTTCCAGGAACTTTTAGCCCCGGTAAGTATCTTATCTGAAGTACTACAATCACAAGTTTCACATTTTTGAGAAAGTCATGGTTGCTTACAAGCTCTATGACTGCAAATATGTGCACTGAATTTTATAAGCATGCATCAGATGTGCAATGAATTTTATATGCACTGCGAAGAATTTGTTTTCCTCTCTTTTGATAGGTTCCTGGTATTGAGTTATGAAGGTTAAGCTTGTGATAAAAAAGCCTATTAGATAACCATGAATGGCTCAAAACCCTAGTGGTATATATATCCAACTTTCCCTTTAGCAACACTTTATATGCCCAATGTCTATGTGCCAAACTCATTGGAAATACAGTTATATAATATCATCCAGTTTATGAAGAAATTAACATTGCCCATCAGAAAACTAATTACTTCCGTTCATACTTGCGCAGGTTTTGTTGGAATGGCATTCTCTTATGGTCTTTCCCTAAATAATACTCTTGTTAACTCTATTCAAAGGCAATGCAGCCTTGCGAATCAAATAATATCTGTGGAAAGGGTGAACCACTACATGGACATACAAAGTGAACCAGAAGTTATTGAAGAAAACCGTCCGGCACCAGATTGGCCCCAAGTTGGCTGTGTGGAGCTTAGAGATTTGAAGGTAATCAAATTTAAACATGTACATGTACACTTGACCAGGTGAAACCCTTTAGAAATTCTAACAATTTTATGTGATTTATTTTCATTTGACAGATTAGGTACAGGGAAGACGCACCCCTTGTACTACATGGTATCACTTGCAAGTTTGAAGGTGGAGACAAGATTGGTATAGTTGGTCGAACAGGAAGTGGCAAGACAACTTTAATTGGTGCATTGTTCCGCCTTGTTGAACCTGCTGGAGGGAAAATAAGTATTGACTGTGGACATCACTACGATAGGCTTACATGACCTGCGTTCGTGTTTGGGCATCATTCCCCAAGATCCAACACTTTTTCAGGGTACAGTAAGATATAATCTGGATCCTCTTGGGAAGTTCTCAGATCAACAAATATGGGAGGTAAGGCGTGTAATATATCTACAATTTCAGAAAAATAAGCACCTTATCTAATCAGGATTAATAAACTGATTTATGGGGTCGTAATGACAAGTCGCCATTCTCTGTTATGGCATACATGCGTCTTAAAAGGAATCACTAAATTAGTTATATGCTATTGTGTTGCAGGTTCTTGACAAATGTCAACTTCTTGATGCCGTCCAGGAGAAGGAGCAGGGATTGGATTCACTTGGTAGGAGACCTCACTGTATCTATACATATATAAAATTTGGTCTCGCATTTATTTTAGGCCCCTAGCGAATTGGGCAAACATACAGTTCTGCTCTGGCCCTTTCAGAATTCAAAATGCATGTGCCTCTAAATCTGTCAAACTGTTAGTGGTACTAATCAAGATCTTGCCATACAGTTGCTGAAAACGGGTCGAATTGGAGCATGGGCCAAAGGCAGCTCTTTTGCTTGGGTCGGACGCTTTTGAGAAGGTGACGTATCTTAGTTCTTGATGAAGCCATGGCCTCTATAGACAACGCAACAGACGCCGTCCTTCAGAAAACGATCCGGACAGAGTTCAAATATTGCACCGTTATTACAGTCCCCCACCGTATTCCAACAGTTATGGACTGCGATGTGGTACTTGCAATGAATGACGGTATGTTTGTCTTATTACTGCCAACTTATTAGGACTGCATCATAGAGTTTTTTATTCCACACTGATGAGCTACATGAACACTTCCAGGGAGAGTAGTGGAGTATGACAAACCTATAAAGCTCATGGAAACTGAAGGATCTCTCTTCCGCAAACTGGTGAACGAGTACTCGTCGTACACATCGAACTGAAACAGTTAGGAGAGATCGTTGATGACGTGCGTTACTGTTCAAGAATCAGTTTCTCTGGAGATGTACAAGAACCAGTTTCAGGGAACGGGCATGTTTGGATCAGAAAGAAAAATCTCTTGTCATACTCCAGAGGAGCTCATTTATTTGCAATCTGAAGAAGATGCAGTGCCATCTTCCAGAAATTGCCTGGATTCTTTTAGTTATGTATTGTTACCTGAAATTTTGAGTAATATACTACAGTTTAGCTTATTATTTGTTGACCGTTGCCGCTCTTCACAAGCGCTGAAGCTGAACAGAGCAAATCCCAGAATAGTTCCTCGTTCCAGCAATCAAGCATACAAGTCTACAGTAATTGGGAAGAACTTCAAATCTGTAACCCTGCTCGAACTTGTTAGGAGAAGAAATGATGATGTATATAATTTGTATGTAGATTTAGTGACACCAAATAATGTGCATATTGGCATTATATTTCGGTCACAATTTTGAGTTTCGCTCTGTACTGGAAGTGGAGGGAGCATCAGAAGTTGAGAAGAGCAAATTATATGTAGAAATGAAGTAGAAAGTCCATTGCAATCTGCTACTAGTCCTCAGAGAACATGCAGTGAGATGTTGCTCCCAAGATGACCTATTTCGATGTACATTTTTAATCCGAGTTTACACAATATATCATATATAGAGTACTACAAAGTACTGTGTGTAATAATGTACAACAACAATACAAGTCTGAATATCTGATGCTGAGAAAAAAAACTACACCTAGTTAAACCAGACGGCGACAGTGCGACCGGCGGAGGAGCTAGCGCCGCCACGCCAGCGGGCTCCCGTCCTCCAGCTCTGGCCGCGTCCTCACCATCTTCGCCGCCGGCATCCGGCTCCCCCGCACCGCCATCCTCCCCAGCTCCTCCCCGGCGAGCGCCCGCAGGTCCATCTCCTCCCTCCTGCGCCTCCTGCTCCACCGCACCGCCGCGACCACGGTGGCCGCCAGGAAGCTCACCACCACCACCCCGCCGACGCCGGCCACCGCCATCCACGCCCACCACCGCTCCCTCACCGCCGCAGGCGGCTGCGGCGGCGGCGGCGGCGGCGAAGGCGGTGGCGGTTGCAGCCGCACCGCCACGCCGTAGTGGCCCGTGCCGGTCACCGTGCACGCGGTGTCCGACGCCATGGCGTGCGTGGCCACGGCCTTGGCCTTCCCGCTCTCCACCGCGAAGGTCACGCACCTCGCCGCCGTGGCGTTGAACGGCGTCGTCCCGTTCGCCGCCGCATGCGCGAGGTCCCCGAACTCCACGCGGACGGGCGCGCCGAGCGCCCGGAGCCCGACGGCCCTGCTGCCGTTGTTCCCGGTCGACACGTCGTACGCGAGCAGCGCGGCCACGGGGGCGGCCAGCGCGTACCCGGGCGGCGCAGCGAAGAGCGCGCCGGAGGAGGAGTTGCCGAGGAACCGCTCAAAGACGACGTCGACGCGGCGGGCGAACGGGGACGGCACGACGCGGGGCGGCACGGTGAACCCCGCGGTGCCGGCGGCGGCGTCGGTGGCGTTGACGCCGTCGTCCCAGAGGGAGCTGCTCCGCACGCGCAGCGCCGAGGCCTGGACGTCGACGAGGCCGCACGGCGACGGGCAGGCCGTGAGGGGCACGCCCACGAGCTTGTCGGTGCGGTGGAGCAGCTCGAACGCGCGGTCGCGGACGACGTCCTCCACGGCGGAGATGTTGACGACGACGGCGGCGCTGCCGCGATCCTGGGCAGCGGAGCAATGATGATGCAGGAAGAGCGCGAGGAGCAGCAGCGACAACAAGGACGACGATGGGACCGCCATTGCTGCCTCTCTTTCTGGAGGGCTAGCGCCGTGGCGTGTGGCGGCGGCGGTAGGATGCCGCCATCTCGACGGAGGGCTCGAACGGCGGGCCGGATGGACGGAGCGAGCGGAGGAGGTGGCCAGAGCTACGAGAGGTTAATCACCAATGGAGGCAAATGATCTCCTATATTTAGGGGGGATGCTGGCTGTTAATTAGTACCAGCACTCAGATGAAATGCAGCATTATATTATCCTTTTTTTAACACAATACAGACGCACAGACACGCATACACTTATTTCTATGTGCCATGAACAAGTTTTACAGGATTTTAAAATTTAGAAAAAGATCGAGTTTAAGAAGAATGTACACGGGCCATGTAAAACTATAGAGAGAAAATTAACTCCTAAAGATGAGATTAGAGGAATATTTTATCATACGAACGTTCAGTCTCTAGTCTTGGTGGCTAACGCTTCCGCGAACTAGTGGAGAAGAGCATGAGTGAAGGAAGGAGAACGAGGAAGGAGGAGAGGGAGGGGAGCTAACCGAAACCGTTAACGAGGCAACGACAACCTAGTGACAATGTGGCAATGCCTTGACTTGACGCTGGTGAGACCGAAAAATCGAGGAGGAGGGAAAGAATGACATGGCGAGGAGGATGAGGAAGAAGAAGGTATGCGCCAATCTCTCACGATGAAGAAAATGAAATAGGGGTTTGGAGGTTTGCGCCATATGATTAGTGCACATATGCAACATTCTAGTCCCATCTGAAATTTTATTTTTGAGGGATCATCCGAAATAAATTGAGAATGCATGTTGGGTTCCCAGCGAAAGTGGGGACGCGAAAATGCGTTCGAAAGAATTATTGAACTTGCCAAAGAAAAACAACTTTTTTCAGGAAAAAGAAAAACAACTTTAAATAAGTCAGTCCAAAACATTTGTTCTGAACAATGAAGTCCTCCAAACGTTCATGCGAAAATGCCATGATCCACAATGAACAAGTACAAAAAATGTTAATGTTTGCTGAAACGTTAAAAGTACAATTTTTTGTTTTCTTAAAAAAAGGATCACAAAAGCTAGAGCCCTAAAGGGTATTTCTGTCCAAAATCGGCCTTCTTTTCTAGTACTGCCAAAGAGAAAGAGCAATGGAGCAGCTCGGTTCTCATTTTATATGTCATCTTTATCGGAGCAACGGAGGGTGGAGCAGTTGATACGATAGTGCTACGGTCTCCAACCCAACCTTTTTCCGATGGCGACACGCCTCACCTCACCGGAGTTCCTGGGGTGCGGCAGCTTTATATATGGGGCGGCGCGGCGCGGCCGGGTTGACCCTCCATCGTAGAGAATCCTGCACATTCTCCAACACTTTCATACATCCGAGCCGAGCTGTCCGGGGCATCTTCAACCCTTGAAACGCCCGCATGTATCTGGACGGAATTGTCACACTTTGCCATGTGCCTCATCGGTCCGCGCCCGCAAACCAGACGCAAATCAGAAAAGCTTTGCGGGCATCTGCATCGCCACCATGTACACGTCCGACACCCTAGTCCATCGAAAAACATCTCTCGTGCGGTTGTGCCGGCGCCCTATCCCACGTGACAGAACCCCCGCTCCCCACATCACATTCATGCAAGCGAAGAGTGGACGCAATCATGCATTGGAGTCGGTATTGAAGCGTCACTCGGGTCGAGAGCGCTGCCCACATCGTGTCCCGGCCTCCGCACAAGTTCAATGTCGAAGAGACTTGACTGGACGGGCCGGTCTCTACCACATTCAAACCGGCTGCCTGTCCATCCGTCAGCCGGCATTAAATAGTTTTGGCGGTCGAGAAACCGAAACAACCCGCCATTTGGCCTTGCCAGCGTCCGCTATTTATACGTGGCCAGAATCGACACGATCCGTACCCCACCACCTCCGCCATGAACGCGAGCTCTAGAGCGATGTGGGAGAGTCTCTCGATGGAGAAGAGGCAGGAGTTAGTCGGCCTTGCGACAGAGTGTGACTGGCCCGTCATGTGCAAGGATAGAGGCTGACTTGCCGGAGGTCAGCGACGTCGACCAAATGATACAGGAGGCATTTGACGAAGAGCCAGCGCGCGGCCATCCCTATCTGCTTCACCATGGAGCAGGCGTATGCATATCAATGTCATCATGGCGGACGAGCAGTCAGCAGGTCTGGTGTTGGCGTTTCGGCAGGCGCGGTAGGACCAAAGCTACAACCTTGGGCTCATTGACGAGCATTGGCTCACCGAGGGACAAATCGCCGGC